AATTTAAGAATATTGGCCTTTAAAGTACTTGATTCCAAAACTTATACGAGCTACAGTTTAAGAGTTTTAGGAAAATTATCCGCAGTATTTTATATTAAATATATACATATATATACAGTATATATTTATCAATATATATATAAACAATTTTAATAAATTAATAAATTTAAAAATGGTCGCTATTGAAGTTACAATTTGAAAAAAAAGACCAAATATTTATATTGGCTGTTCCCCAAAATTCAATGGAAAATAAACTGGGATCTTTTATATACAAATAAAGGCATTATGTGAAGCATTTAAGGTTGGGTGCCATTCAAAACAGGAATTAAGAAATTGATTACGATTTTGTAGGAATGTCTTCTTGTATATACGTTTGCTCCAGAAGTTCAACGAATGCAAAATTGTTGAAGGACGATTGGACCAACACACACGCACGCACACAAAAGTATTAGACACACCTGAGTGTAAGACATACATACATCCACACACACACACACACACACACACACACACACCCACTTAGATATTATGTATGCGTCTTAGCCTAATCTAGGTAACAACAACAGCTAGTACCAAGCCAAGTACATAAAGTCTGAGGCAGCTAAAAGCGAAAGTAATGGTAAAGTTTCTATTCTACATTATTTTTTTCTCTTTCTTTCTTTTTTTTTTATGTCGCCTAACTAACTCAACTGAAACTCAACTTGGCTTATTTTGAAGGCCTTTTTGGCATTTGGTCGTGCCTTTTGCGATTGTTTATTTATTTTGAGCTTAAAATTAAACGTACACGAAACTTTTGTTGGTTGGGTAAATTACTTTACACGCTACTTGAACACGCAGGCTACGTAAATTTTATTCTCAACATGAGCTAAACATTTAATTAAATTAAAAAAATATGTATAAATTGTAAAGAAACCCTACGCAACATTACAATGCCAATGGAACGTGAAACTTAACGCGTATGACATACAAATAATGCTATTATAAGGTTCAAAAAGGTTTTGTAGCTACCTTTTATACAGCATGCTTTTGTTGTATCATGGTATATAGACTGACATATTTGTATTAGGTTTTATACAGTTCGTTGTTAGCGATCCCTAAAATGTTTAAAAATAAATATTGGTTAATTCCTTTAAACTTTTTATTTACACTCAGCTATAAAGCTTAAAAGAAGTGTAAACATAAAAATTAAATTGTACAACAAAAATTTATTGAGGATTTGACACAAAAGTTATTTACTACATACATGTTTTAAAATAATGTTCTATAAAAATAAAAACTATATAATCTTTTTTATAGCTGTATGATCATAAAAGCCGTATGTTTCAAGAGTAGAAAACATATCAATTATAATGCTATTATGGGTCAAACTGTCAATAAGGTGGGCTAGCATAATTCGGACGCTATAATTGTCCCACAAACAAGCGTTTGCTGGTTAAATGTTAAATAGAATAATTTAGACCTATTGCTTATAGAAACTTAAGTATTTCACAGTCGTGTCTGGCACAAGGCTAAATAGGCTAAAATCATGCAATTTGGTCTACGCTACGATTGGCAGCATTTTTATCAGCATATTTGCTCTGCTACGCATAACCTGGCTGATAAGAGATACATTTTTTTTACGTACTTTAGATTCGTAGCTAGAAGAAGGATACGCACGAGACGCGCACGGCTGGAAACATTATTAAATATATATATATATATAAGTATATATATATATATATATTTTTTTTTGTTGTTAGTGAGCGAACAAATATTTTGTTTTAATTTGAATTAGATTAATTTATTTGGGTTTATCAAAAACACGACCGTTAAACAGATGTACAGCTAAGCTCATTAAGCACTACCATTTAATTAATAATTTTGAAATTTTGTTCATTTATTAATTTGATTTATTTATTGGTTATGCTATTAGTTATTGGTTGCTTGGAGTTTGAAGCCAGTTTTTGGTTTGTTGTGCTGCGTGTCTGTGTGTGTTAACGAAATGAGGAAAGATTGTCTACTGAATTTGCAAAAAACTTGGCCCGAACCAAGAGCCAAACGAACTGAGTCGAGGCGCAGCCACAGTAGAGCCAGAGCTTTGCAGCTGCTGCTTCACGGACAACGTTGCGTATGTGTGTTGTATGCGAAGTGCGTGTGTCAGTGCTGTACAATAGTGTTGGGCAATGCGCGCGCAAATTGCCAAACGCTTGCACACAACAGGCAAATGGCAATGTCGCCCACAACAGCTGAGCTGGCGACCAGCTGCTCAAAAGAGATATAGCGAAAGAGCGCAAAAACGAGAGCGACAAGAAACGATTGAGAGCGAGAGAGCACGCGCACAGTGTCCAAGTCAGTTAAAGTGAAAGTATTTTTCTGTTGATTAACAGCCTAGTGTGAGCATCTCCCCTACCCCCTTTACTGAACCCAACCACCCGGCCACCCACTAACAGGCCACTAGAAAGGTCGCCAATTTCACTGATAATAATTCCTATATCCACGTTGGCAACGCTGTCATTCATGCCGAGCATGCGTATGACAGAGATAGCAATAAGAGATATACTCGTTTTCGTTATGCTGCCCCCTCAGTGTGCACAGTTGGCCGGAAGTGCCTATTGGTAAGTGGCATTTCCTCAAGCAAACAATTGTTAGCCTAATAAAATGCAATTCAAGTCAAGAAAGTAGAGCGCAAAATGTGGCAACTAAATATTTAATTTACAGAGATTAGTCTTAAGGATTATTTTGTAAACCTTTTTTAATTTAGTCAAGTGCATAGGGTACTTTTAAATTAAAAATAAGTAGGTACTTTTCTGATAAGTAAGTCCAAATACAAAGAAAAACTTTCTTCTAGCTAGATAATCGGTTAAGTTTTTTTTGTATTAGTTAAAACATTTACAAGAGCATCTAAAAGGAATCGCTTTTGGCTGAAAGTTAAGCATGGACATTTACAATAAATTTACACACTTTTCTAGCCATGATATTTGACAGACATAAAAACATTTGAAAACAATGCTTAATATTCTTGGCGATCTTTCTTTTTTTTGGATACTTAATTGGATACTTTAACGTTAGATAGGTTAGATGAAAGGCGAAAAAAAGTTTGCCTTAAGTAACCAAATTATGTCAAAAAAAATGTGCTTAATTCGATTGACTTTCTATATAATTATGCTTTTAATTAAACGCTACTCAACTAACCAAGTGATTCAAGCTAATGAAAAAGTGAAAGAGATCCGCTTCAAACGTGACAAAATATGACTTGATGTTATAGCAACGAAAACAGCGCGATATCTGAGTAGTTCCGTTGTAGAATCAAAAAATTATTTGTAGTCGCAGCTACATTTACATGTCGATTTGCACGCCGAATTCGAAGCCATCTGCTGCAATCCAATACCAAATTGAATCGACTCTAACGATGTGGCTATAAAAACCAAGAGCTAGCCACAAATGTGCAACAGTCAGCAAAACTTGGGAATATGTGGAAGCAGCAGACTCTGAGCATTATCATCTATACTTTGTTGGCGCTGGGCCAAGCCCTGCCAGTGGATGTACCACGCTACAATCAGCTGGGGTAAGTGTAAAAGACACAAATGGGTATGCCCCATTCAAAATGGTTAAATAAGAGGGTATATTTCAATTGTGCAAAGGTATATATTGTGCAGAAGCAGGCATAAACGCACCCCATTAAGTATATATATTTTTGAGCCGTCCACCTTTTTGATAATTTAAAGCCATTTTCGGTCTGGTTCAAAGAACAGATCCAAAGAACATTACCCCTCAAATTACCAAAATATCATGTCATCTTTAAGCCTTGTCACTTGTCAGCAGACAAAAGGCAACTTAGTTAAACAAGAATTAAATCAGATAGAATGGGGAAGAAAAAAGGCACAATTTGCAAATATATGTTACGACAGTTTTAGCCTGACCGCAGCATATCTCATAGTCGGGCACTGTCTACTTGAGCCCTTCACATGTTTGGCAGGAATTTAACCAAAGGTAACTCTGTATTAAACCAGGTACAAGCAGCCACAATTGAGCAACTCAAGTGGCTACAACAACTTGGTGCCCACCACGGATCGACTAGGCGTTACAGCGACCACGGCCGCACCACAATTTGAATATGCGCTGCTGGGTCAGGACCCGGAGGATCAGCACTGGTATCGCGTCAGTCTTACCCCAACGGGCCACAAGTCTGGCTATCGAGCCCAGTTTTCAACACGAAAATCGCCGCCCTACGATGCCCAGCAGGCACACAAGCACGACAAGACCATCAAGGAGCTGCTGAATTTCCTGGAAAAATCCGAGGAACATAATCTGCTGAAGGTCTATGGGCAGCTGCTGGCCAGCGAGGACTACAACGATCAGGATGGCAAAAGCAAGCGCAATGTGGACAAAATTGAAATTGAATTGGATAACGATCTGGATGTGAGAAATCATTTGAGAACCGATCCGAATCGACCGCTGGTTCTAGTAGGCGAGCTGCAAGGAAATACGCCCGGGAATAGCCAAAATGGCAGTGATTCGTCAATGGTTAAGAATTTTGTTTACTTTATAAAAGGCTTGAAATGAGAACGTGCATTAATTACATATATTATTGCTGGCATTTCAAAGCCCAACAGGCTGCAGCAGTAATAAACAATTTGAATATAATAATGTAGTGTCCAGTAATTTTAATAAATTTTCCAAATAAAAGTTTACTCAATGCAAACTATATATATTTAGGGTTTTCTCATTATCTACATTAATTACTTGCAGAGTCGTGTTTTTTAAAGTTAGTCCAAGCAAATTCGCAAGAATTACACCTTTATCAAAATAAATCAAATATTTTTATAACTATTATAACTGTACCTCAAGTGCAGGTAATCTTGTAACTGTAACTTTAACTAACAGTTTATAAATAAGTTAGGAGATAATTTCTCTGAATCTATTTTCTTCCCAGCCGACTAAGTAATAAAATGATCGGAAGGCAAACCACAATAATTGTAGAAATATTTACAATTTAAAATACAATTTAAAGACATTTAAAATACTCTGATTTTGAATTCATCTTTATTTTAATATAGTTTTACAATGGTTTTGTACCAAAAAATTTGGTTTTTTACCGGCACATAGTTAAATATATTTTTATAAGTTTTGCCCTATCAATTCAATGCGCTTTTACCCTATGATACCTATACTCACCACACGAATTTCTCTTATACTACTTAATTTTCTAGCTCTTATACAAAAATATGTTATAATATGGGCTCTGATAAGCGCTAAGGCCAAACAAAACATGTGGTGTGTGTGTGTGTGTGAAAGAGTGTGTTTGTGTGTGACCCAGTTCTTTGGACACTTGCTGCTCCAATTGCAAAGCATTCGCAAGTTGAAAAAAGAAAAAAATTATATATATATACATATATATATACATATATATGCAAAAAATTGAAATGGAACAATTTGAATTTGACTTGATCTAAATTGGACTTTTGTCTAGGTATTGTGTTTCTGCAATTGGAGTATTTGCGAATCCTCGCGATTGGCACGCTCCAGTTTATCATTGCTTAGCTCATAGGCCGGCCGATAGATCAGCTTTCCCAGTTGGTCATCATAGACCAGCAGGCTGGGATTCATCCGTGTGTTGCTTCGATCCCCGAGCGATGTGTAGCCCTGATCATAGAGACTGCAATAGGGCAACTGTTGGCTACGCAGATAATCCCAAATATCATGATAGCTCCACTCCAGCAGCGGAAAGATTCGCATCAGCGGCGGCCAACCCCTGTCGCTGGGCGTCAACTCCGACAGCTCTGCGCAGCCGGGATCGCTGCGTCGGCAGCCCAGAAAGACGGCACGCACCTGCGGCTGCTCGGCCAGCGCCTGCTCAATGGCCAGCTTCAGTACGCCATTATAGCGCCGCAGATCCATAGAATAACGCTGCGTGCATATTTCTATGAACTGCTCCACCTCCTCGAAGGGATCAAAGGATTTGACGCATACGGCGCGCAGGGGCTTCAAAGCATCGCGCTGCTTGGCCAGCACATCCAGCAGCACGGTGCAGTCCTTGCCGCCATTGAAGCACAACATCAGCTCCTCCGGCCTGTACAAGCTGTTGGCACGCTTAATAATTGACTCTGCCTGCTGCAGCTTGGTCGCCAGTTGAGCGTTCCCTCTGCCCATCGATTTGTCCGTAGCCTTACAACAACAACTGCGCTTCATTCTCACCGAATGTTGCCACATTCTCAGCCAATTTTGTTGCTGTAATATCATGGCGCCTGCTTCTTCGGAGTGCTAAAATTTACCCTATTTCTAAAATGTAAAAAATTATAAACTTCAGCTGTGACAAATTCTGACTTTTATATATTACACAAAAAAACTTGGAATAAACTATAGAAAAGCGCGGGAAATATTCAGACTCTTAATATCTTCATCTTAATATCTTTATGTCTAATGCTGATTTTGGCTACTTTTCAATTTTTAAAATATTTGTTTAGGTCGGGACCTGAAGCCAGCTAACTAAATATTTTAATACCTAATGTTTTTATAATCATTCTCAAGCCCCAAAAGAATTTCCTTTTAAAATGCCTTATTTAAGCAGGGTTTAAAAGACAGCCAGATCAATTAACATCTTAATACCACAGTATTTTTAGACAAATCAATTCTCAGCCAATTTGATACAAAAGCTATATATAATTTAGAAGTGAGATCCTATTAACATTGTTCTAATAGCTAAAGAGCATAATAAAGATTGTAATAACTAGGTTGGATTGCGGTTTTTTTAACACAAAAACCGTTTTTTTGAATACATATTAAACTCATTAGTTAGCAAAGAAACAGACTTGTCAAGAAAATATCTGTGTAATTAATGGGTTTCGAAATGCCTTCTCGGCGATGGTATCAAAGGGTACATTAAATAGAAAATAAATGTATAAATAAATAGTTAAAAACTGTTCTAATACTTTTATTAATTTTAATTAATTATTATGTTATGGTTTTGAACTTAGGTCCAAAACATTTATTAATTTTACTTAATTATTATTATTATTGAAATGAAGGTTTTATAAAGTTCCGTGGGTTCAACCTGCAGATTCGGCAAGTTCATCCAATTTTCACAAAAAAAAATCATTCAACTTCAAATAGTTTATAAATTTCAGAAATTTTCACACCAAAATTCTAAAGTTTGCAAGAAAACAAAACCAAATACAACCCTATAGAATCTGCTTTATGACGCCTAACTCTACAGACAGACAAAACAAATTTTATATAGAGAAACTAGGATAACATAATACGCGAGATTGGAGATGAATAAACCAGAATCACATTTATCCCTTTTTCAACTTTAAGCTCATTTTCTTAAAAGACCAATACAAATAAAATTAACTTTATGCAAGGAAAAACTTAAAGCTAGCTTAGTACAATTGTATTTATTTACTCTTAAATTTAAAACAAAAAAAAACGCCTAGCTTAGCTTTAACTGATATTTTCTTGAATATTTCGTAATACAGATTTTAAAAAATAACCAACAATATGTAGCGGAAATAGAAAAAAGAAGTATAAAAGTCATATATAAAAAATGCGAATAGTTGCTTTTCGGGCACTATGCACAAAAACGCTGAGTTGTTCCAAACAGCGCGACTTCAAACTTGGTCAATGCTTGTCGCTGCATTTCTTTGACACCACCCGTGAGCCCTATATAAACCCACTTGGTTGCTGCACTCAACATCGCAGTTCGCTTTTAGCCAAGTTCAGCAAACAATCAACATGAAATTCATTGTGCTCGCCGCCGTTGCCTGCCTGCTGGCCGCATCCGTTGTTGCCGACAAGGAGGAGAAGATGCTGGGCTCTGCTTATGGTGGTGCTGGTGGTGGCTATGGCCAGCCTGCTGCTGCGCCCGCTGCACCATCTTATTCGGCACCGGCTGCACCGTCCTATGCCGCACCCGCTGCACCGTCCTACGCCGCGCCAGCACCAGTCTCTATACCCGCACCGCCGTGCCCCAAGAACTATCTGTTCAGCTGCCAGCCTAACTTGGCCCCAGTGCCATGCAGCGCCCCAGCGCCCAGCTATGGATCTGCCGGTGCCTACTCCCACTACGCGCCCGTCTTTGCGTCCCGCCCAATGTACTAGTAATGGGAGGATTCCAAAAACGCTTAACCGGACATTTATGAAAACAACACAATAAATAAATACGATTTGATAACAGAAATTTACGCACTTTTTTATGGAAATCGGGCAATGGGTTTTTGGGCTGGATTTAATTATTTCAGTAATCAAAAATCAGATTTTATACAAAATCAGAATTGCATTATTTAAAATATATGGGTATAATGCAGTTGTTTTGATAGTTTTATGCAAAACATTATTTAAACTATAAAAATTATTCTAAATCTTTTTTCAACACACGTCTTATATGATATGTTAAGGGTATCTGATCGCGAAATATTTGTATTGAACAAAACGAATTTAATAACGAAATTCGAATACTCTTTGCAAATTTATTGTTGAAATTAATATTTATAATTTATTCCTATGCAATAAGGTTATTTATGGTATATGGAAGAATTCAATCTAGTTTCTAAATAAAATATAAATAACTGCAACTGAATTTCTGAAAAACTTTAAAACTTAAATTTAGAGTAATTTTTTTATTTTCTTTTTTATAAAATATCCATTTATTGTCAACTTTAACAAGCAGCGCATTTCCCTAGGTGTTGCCCACAAAGCGCCTAAAGGTGCCGATTCACAATAGAATAATTTAATTTAGTTAAATTATCATTGTCTAGATATATATTTGTAAAAACATTAACAAACTTTATGGCTTAAATATATTATAAATTCAATTGCTGCGCAAAACAGCAGAAGCACATGGTCTCATATCATATTATATATATCTCAGGGGGTAGTTAATTGGATAGTCAAATGTGGAGTCAGAATTGAAATGATAAAAGAACGTGAAATATACGTGAAAATGAAACGTGAAATATTACAAATTATCAATACTAAAGTAATTCAAACTGAATGTATACTAAACAGACAATTTTTCGAAAATAGCTGAAAAATTGCTGTTAGCTTTCGCTTAGTCGATTTCGTCCTGGACATCGTCAAAGAAACGCGCCGCCTGCAGCTGTTTGCGTATGGCGCCCACTTGGGTCAATATTTTGGGTGACGAGGTGGACAACGTAAACTTTTGCACGGCGGGCACCTGGCAGAGATTGAAAATGATTAATCTATTTGTAATTCGCATAATTGCACTTTGAACTACACACCTCCCAGCGCTTCTTGAGATTATCCATTTTTTGCTGACGATTCCCGTCCAGCGTTGTCGCCGTCTCCTTGCGCGTCATTTTTGGCATTTCTCGCAGCAGCGGCATGGATAAATTCTGTGTGGGCGCCTCATGCAGCACCACATCGCGTCGACCCAAGGATTGGGGCGTCGTCTGGGTGCCGCGATGGCGAGATTCGCTTTTACTGCGCATATGTTGCTGCTTGGCAGCTAAATCCCCATAATTCTTGAGATAACGCGACAGCCGCTGATCTGTTTGGCGACGCACACGCTCCATGGCCTGCTCATCGGCACTGTCGAGTTCGAAACTATTGTTGGCGCTGCCAGAGACGGTGGGCAGCTGATCTAGCAGCATTGGCTTTACGGGCGTGGCCTTATAGTCCGCATGGTGCACCGAGTTGGATGATGTATAAAAAGTATATGGTGGCGGCGTGGTATTAGACAAATTTGAGGCATTGTTTTCTGCCGCCGGAGTTGGCATCGCATAATTAACATCCAGCACACGAAAGGCATCCTCCGACTGCGGCTCACGATCCTGCTGCTCGTTGATGTGCGTACGTTCGGTATCACGGCCGCAGGCAATCTCGTCCAGGCAAAAGGAGCACAGATTACGACGACAGCTCATGCAGACATTACGCTCACCCTGGCAGGCGCGGCACACATCGCTCTTGACCAGACACTGGCTGCACAGGGCATACAGACGTTCGCATTTGAGGCAGACCAGCGCATAGCTATTCTGGCAATCGTGATCCACTGCATCCGCCGTTTCTGTCTCTACCTCTCCAGCAGCTGTCTGCTCGCTGCTTTGCTGCTTCATTTTAAGAGCCAATTTGCGCTGGCAGCGTAGACAGCAGCTCTCGTAGCTTTTCAGCGGCTCATCGCACAGCGGACAGATCTTCTCGCACAAATGGAAACATTCACGCTCGATTTTTGCCATTTGCGGCAGCTCGAAGTCCAGTTCCACGCCCGCCGGCAACGGCTTACCACGTCGATACTCATGCCTTGCCGAATTGCTGAAGTATTTGTACACTTTATTGGTGTTTGCGTTGTTGTTGTCGTTGCTGATGTTGTTATTGTTGTTGTTGTTGTTGTTACTGCCTTTTAAATCCTTTGCTGCAGCCAGGTTATTGCGCTCTTTGGAGCGCAACAGCTCCGCATCCTGCTCCAGCTTGGCCAGCAGCTTCTCGCGCATCAAACGATTCTGTTCCGTCTCGATACGTGCCTGTTGAAGCGTTTCATAAGCGTTTTATTTTTTTAATATCACATTTGTATATATCACACACACTCGCACTCTTAAGAATTTCCAAAGCATTGAGAAAAAATCAAATTAAGGCCATACCAAGCGTTAAATAAAAATATAAAAAAAAAACCAAAAGATGTTTTCTAATTTACGTTTCCCAATTGAATTATGATAGAAATGTGGGAGTAGCGAGAGCATTTTCTGGCTTAAAAATTGGAATTAATGCGGAAATGGAATGGAATAATAGGGAATAACTGGTTTTGGACAATAAAGCTCAAGGGAAAGTGGAATAAAAAATACGTGAATTGGAAATAAAAAGCTTTTAACGGAATGTGATTAATGGAACATGGAAAACTAATGAGAGCCTTAGACTCGGATTTGGGTGTTTAATAGAATTGAATGTAAGGAACTTAAAATAAAATGGAATGTAATCCATGCACTTGGATGTTGGAACTGGTCTGAAATTGGACAATGTTAATCTGTCCAATAATACAGCATAGAATGAAACGGAGCGTTGGGAGCTAATTGATAATAATTCCTTTAATATGGGGTTTTAAAATCATATGAAAAGTAGTAAACGTGGAAATGCTTTGAAATAAATTGCATTAGATCTTTGGATTAAAGAGTATTAGAATATTAGAAAGTATGAATGAATAGAATGGAAATGAGTTATTCAAATTAAAAACGGTATGTTAGGATTGGACTACATGGAAATTGAAAGGAGCATGATAAAAATGTAGGGTTTTACAATAATATAAAAATATATATATACATTAATCAAATTGAATAACAAAGTGACAAAGATTAAAACTAAGAACCGAAACAGATGTAGCAAATAGATGTAATTTTAACGCCAATTGAAAAAAATAACAATTGCCCCATTATAAAAATAAGTTACGATAGGTAATTTAAGAACAACAGCGTAGAACAGATGTGTTTTAAATTTTATTTGCCCAACCCTTAAAATGCAAATGACCAAAAGCAAAACTAGCGAAAGAAATAAAGACAAGTAGCTAGATTACAATTTGTAAGTATTGATTAAAAAATATGACAGATAAAAAAGTGGTGAAAATAATTTCGCTTTATAAAAGATATGAGTTAGAACATGGAACAGAGTAATATGCCAACTGGTGTGTGTTTTGATGAAGTTTTAATAGATATTATGAATTTGCGCCTACCTTTTCCGCGCGTTGCCGCTGCTTTTCCAACTGCTCCTCTAAATGTATGGTCTTTAGCTGTGCTTCCAGGCGCCTATACAAGAAAATATTAAATTTTTTAGGCACATCTAGATAAATTCGTTAGCCAAGCCTCACCTGGTCAGGATCTCCTCCTGTCGTCGTTCTTTTTCCCGTAGGATTTCTATGGAGCGACGCTTCTCCTCGATCTGTTGCATCAAGTCCCTTTGATAGTCCTTTTTGCGCGCCGTTTCCAGTTCAGCGCTGCGCATATTGCGCTCGTTGATGCCATCGCCGCTTACAATATTGGAGAGCTCTACATGACCCAGATCGTGAAGCAGCTGCTGGCGATTGGTGGCCGGCCGTATTTTCGGGGGCACATAATTGGGATTATTATTTACAATTAACTCTAAATCAGTCTTATCCGTTCTGCTATGGGATGTGCTTGTGCTTGATTGACTGGAGCGCGCCGTTTGCTGCTGCTCCTCTACCGGCACCGGCGATGGCGATGGCTTCAGGTGACGTCGTTGCTTTCCCACCGGCGGATGCAGCATCTATAGCCAAATAAAGCAATTGAATTATTCGCAAGGTTATAAATTTCACACTGATTACCATAACGGATGACGATATGGTTCAGGGCTCATGGTTCATGACACTTACCTGGTGCTTGAGAAAGTTCTGCTGATTCTCGCGCTGACGCTCACGCAAATAATTTTGACGTTTCTGATTTTCATTGTTAAAGCCGGGAAAATACGAATAAAATGTGTCCGTAACCCATTGCTCCATATCATCCTATGAGAAAGAAAGAGAGAAAGCTCTGAGTTAGTATTTAGATTTGGCTTGAGTGTTATTTATTTTCGTGTCGTGGGGTTTTGGCGACACTAACCACCAGCAGGAAGCTCGTATACATTTTGAACGCTGGCAGTGCGTGGGCTGTGGCAGGGACTGGGGTGAGCCTTAGAAGGTAAATTATTGCCCTGAAGTCGTTTTTTCTCTTTTCGGGTCAGCCTATTGCTTATAAACTGCGACTGGAGCTGCTCCAGCAAAGGCAACACATTGCCTACTGCCACTTTTGCCACATCATTTTTATGCTGGCGACGCTGACGTCGACGTTGCAAATCGCGTGCGACGCTGGCATCAGAATTTTTTATAGAAAACAGGTAAGACATCGAAAATTAAAATTGGTTGACTTTCAAAATATCCTTTAAAAAATATATTAAATAATTCAAACCAGAAAAAAAGAGTCTGGCAGCCACAAAGCGCAGGACGAAGACACGCGCGTGAATCTATCAATAAATAATCGAGATCAAGTCAAGTAACGGAGGCAAGAAAAGGACGTTATTGTAAATACTAACAATAATATAAAAAAAAATAAAAATAGAGAAAATTGTAATACCAAAAAATACTTACATTTAAAGAAGATTATGAGCAAGTAATTGAGAGAGCAAAGGCATAAAACAAACAAGGATAAGATAAAGGGTGCTTTTGCATGGAAATATTGAATCAAA